TTTAGAGCACTTCATGCTTCCTGCTGCTGACCTGCTCTATGGAGATGGAGATTTCAGGTTCCAACAGGACACAGCGCAAAATCTACCCGTGCCTAGTTTACGGACCATGGTATTTCTGTTCTAAATTGGCCAGCCAACTCCCCTGACCTTAGCCCCATAGAAAATCTGCGGGGTATTGTGAAAAGGAAGATGCAGAATGCCAGACCCAAAAATGCAGAAGAGTTGAAGGCCACTATCAGAGCAACCTGGGCTCTCATAACACCTGAGCAGTGCCAGAAACTCATCGACTCCATGCCACGCCGCATTAATGCAGTAATTGAGGCAAAAGGAGCTCCAACCAAGTATTGAGTATTGTACATGCTCATATTTTTCATTTTCATACTTTTCAGTTGGCCAACATTTCTAAAAAATCCCTTTTTTGCATTAGCCTAAAGTAATATTCTAATTTTGTGACACACAGAATTTTGGATTTTCATTTGTTGCTACTTCAAATCATCAAAATTAAATGAAATAAACATTTGAATGCATCAGTCTGTGTGCAATCAATAAATATAATGTACAAGTTACTCCTTTTGAATGCAATTACTGGAATAAATCAAGTTTTTCAAAATATTCTAATTTACTGGCTTTTACCTGTAAAGTGCCCTAAATAGGGATTAGGGCGGACATTTAGACATAGCTTTCATTATAATTAGTGTTGTACCGATACGATACCAGTATCGGGCGGGGCCCCGATCCAGCATTAAAATGGTGGTATTGGTATTGGCGAGTACCAACAAATAGGGCACCGATACCATTTAGAGAGCCAAAAGTTTATTCAACTATTGTCACCCATTCCAGGTAGGCAATAAAAGGTTCTACTTTGTATTAGTCTTTTTCCTGCTTCACAAAGGTAAGCTGCAGCTTAACAAAGCCATGATGGCAATTATTTTACATCCAAGCAGTATGCAGTTCTTCAAATATACACACACATCAATTTAAAACAGATGGTATCGGCCAATACTGCACAGCCAGGTATCGGGGCCAAAAAATGGCATTGGCACAACACTAATTATAATCTCTAGGTCCAGTGGGGTGAAATAAGCACTTCCTGTTACCAACAATGATAAGGTTTTTTTTATACTTAGAGTTGATTCAACTAATCAGAGTTCCCGTCTTGAAGCTAGATCAATTTAAAGTTGAGGATTTGAATCTGAGTTTGTGAAACCTGCTTATTGAAAAGGACCCCAGGCTTTTTGTTTGCTCATTAACGTCACGTTTTCCTTTTCCACCATCACACTTATTTTTCAAATATTTCCATTTTTTTTCCTTTCTCATCTCTGACCATACCTACACCTCAGCAGGGCTGAAATAAACCAGTGGGAAGGGAGAATTCTTTTACAATTGCCACAGATCTTAGTGCTATGGACAAACATTGAGGATCAATTAACGGTAATGACTAAATTTGTCCACAGGGTGGCGGTATTTAGTCTTAAAATGTTCCTCAGCAGCTGTGGAAAAAAAAAAAACACACTCATGGGAAGAAGACCACACTAGTGCAATATTATATTTATTTCTTACAGTGACTTTTGGTTGCCATACAAGAAACCTTGAGGAATTGAAGGGGGGGGGGTTTGGGGTGCTTTTACAGGAAAATTCTCTCTTTTCATTTCAGTAATTAGTCGACTCTAAGATGATTCAGTAGCACAAAATTACAGCAACATAGAGAACATGAA